TAAGTCTGGAAGTTGAAACTGTCTCTGATTTCTTTACGGGTTTAATAAACCCAGACTCTTCAAAATCTTTCACTAAGATCACGTTTTTTCTCATCCATTATTTACTGAGTTGAGGCAGTTTTATCTTAAAACCACAAAACATGTTGTAAGGAATCTTGTATCTCTCTAGAAAACAACTGCCAAAGGACAGGAACAGGTCCTTCTTCTGTTTGGAAGAAATGCCTGGCTATTATTTGGGTTTCAGATAAGTCTAGGCCATAAATAATGGCCTAAGGTTGCTTTGTGAAGTGCTAATATAAAGAGATCGCGAAAGTGTTTGAGGCAGTGACTACAGCAGGCGTTTACCCTAACCATGAGGACTCCACACTCAGCCTTCCAGAAAGCACAGCATATTTGGCATCACTGGGACCAAATCTCTGACATGAACAACTTAAGAGAGAGAAAAAATTAACTTTGCTCATGATACAAAGGTTTCAGAATATCATGGCAGGGAGGGTGTGTGGAGAGTAGCTCATGTCATGCCATAATACAGCAACCAGGAAGCAGAGACAGAGAGAGAAGTCCTGTGCTCTTGGGCTTCCTCCCTTTTTTCCTTTTATTCCAACTGGGCCCTCAGCCTGTGGGCTCGTGCCATACCCGCATGCAGGCCAGGTCTTCCTTGATTAGCTAATCCTCTCTGAGTCCTCACAGATACGCTCACAGAAATGCTTTAGTAATTTTCTAGGCATCTCTCAATCCAATCAAGTTGACAAGACTAACATGAAAGAAACGAGGCACAGGAAGCCCCTCAGAAATCCTCCACTACAGAATATTCAGAAACCTTCTAGAAATTATGATAGTAAATCACTAGTGGACAGGTTGGTTAAATTATAATACAACCATGCCATGGAACACTATTAGCCATGAAAAAATATTAATCTGCACAAACATAGTAGAAAACCCTTCAAACTTACAAACCCTAAGAAAAGTAAGTTGCAAGCCGGGCGTGGTGGCACATGCCTGTAGTCCCAGCACTTGGGAGGCAGAGGCAGGCAGATATCTGTGAGTTCAAGGCCAGCCTGGTCTACATAATGAGTTCGAGGACAGCTGGGGCTACAGGGAGACCCTGTCTCAAAAAAACCAAAAAAAAAAAAAAAAGTAGTTGCAAAAATACTTTACATAGCCAGCCTATCATTTGGGAGATGGAAGAAAGAGGATCTTAAGTTCAAATACAGCCTAGGCTGCACAGCAAGACCCTGCCTATCTTTAAAAAAAAAAAAAGAAAAACACTCTTTTCGTAACACGTTTTTTCTATTACTAGTACAGTAATCAAAATCACCTTTAAGGATTGGGGCTGCATCTTCACTACTTCCTTCACACACTTCTGTATCAGTCTTTTTTGTTTTTTACATTGAGTATGTGTCACTTTTATAACTTCAAAAAAACACATAAAGGGGCCTGTGAGATGGCTTAGCAGGTAAAGGCATGTGCCACCAAACCTGACAACCTGAGTTCAATGCCCAGGATACACATGTGGAAGGAGAGAACCAACTCCCACAAGTTGTCCTCTTACCTTCACATATGTACCGTGGCACATACATGCAGGCACACACACACACAATCAATCAATCAATCAATCAATGTAAAACAATTTTTAATGTAGAAACTGACATCTCTCCCTTGAGGAGCCCATACCCACACTCGGGTGTGTCTTACTTTCCATGACTGTTTTTAGAGAGACCCACACCCATGCCCTCAGCTGTATTTTTCTTTCTTTCTAAGCCCTCTCATTCTTAAGCTAAGCTTATATTATCTTTATTAAACCTTCCAAAATAAAATTTTTTTAAAAAACCATAAAAACTGAGCATTAGTGTTTAGTGAAATTCTATGATTAGAATATAATCCCACTCCTCTTGCTTTTGTTTTTTTTAGGACAGGGTCTCCCTGTAGCCCCAGCTGGCCTGGAACTCACTTATTTAGATCAGGCTGGCCTTCATCTCACTTATGTAGACCAGGATGGCCTCAATCTCAAAGAGATCTGCCTGCCTCTCCCTCCTGAGTGCTGGGACTTAAAGGCGTGGCCACTACACCTGGCTCCTTTTTTTTTTTTAAAGAAAGTTATGGTGGCATTATGAATGTAATGTTTCACATTTATTTATTTTGTATGTGGGTATTAAGTGTGTGGACACATGCCATGGCATGCATGTGAAGGTCAGAGGACAACTTTCAGGAGTCCAATTTTCAGCTTCTACCATGTGAGTTCCAGGGATCAAGCTTAGGTCATCAGAGCTGGTAGCAAGTGCCTTTACCAGCCAAACCATATCGATGGCTTATTTTATGGGAAAGGAACAATTGGTAGACTATGTGTGCTGAGATTCATAAGCTCAAGGATGTCCAGGGAACTCTTTAGCAGAGTACCTTTAAGGATACCCAGCTTAATAGAAGAGCATGTTTCAAGATTAAGCCCTATTAAGCTGGTCATGATAGTGCACTCCTTTAATCCCAGCATTCAGGAGGCAGAGGCAGGCAGATCTCTGTGAGTTCCAGGCCACCCTGATCTACATAGTTCCAGGCCAGCTGGAGCTACAGGGAGACCCTGTCTCAAAAAAAGACAATCCCCTACTACACAACCAGTTATAACTTTGAACTAATGTTCTTTCTCTTCAGAATCTCATAATCAAATTTATGAGAAAAAAAATAATTTAGGGAATTTTTGACCCTACCTCATGCCAAAAGTTACAAATGAATCTCACCAGAGCGGTCTCCAACATCCCTTACTGTCAAAGCCATATCTCAAACCTCTGGGTCTTCATCTTCATACTAGGCTCCTTAACTGCCTCGCTTGTGTGGCTTCTGGTGTCCCTGTCCTCCCCAGTAGCACCTCTGCCTCATCCCCTTGCTTGATACTCATCACTGCTTCTCCGACTTGCTCCTTTCCATTTCTTTTCTCAATCACAGTGTGTCATCTTGCCCTGGCCAGGCCCTTTAGCTGCCCAGGAGACACACAGTCTCCATGCCCACCCAGGACATTTCTGAAAAAAAAATCCCTCTTGCATCTCTGCCCAATAAATCAGGACAGGTTATGAGCTAAAGCCAGTGTTGGAATAGCCCAGGATCATGGGAAGACGGTTACACCATAGGGCACAGATGATGATGAGAGTCAAACCAATCAAGGAGAAAGTTATTTTCACCAGAAGGTTCGTAATCTCTGAAGGCAGATGCCTCACACAGCTCCTCTATTTTTCTCTTCTGCTCTGAGGGTAGAATTGCTTACAGAATGATAGCCAGCCCCCTGAGATCAGGGACTTCATCATTTTACATATTTCCTGTTCCTACCTCAGTTCCTAACACATAAATTGTTTGTCTGGTTTGGGGGTTTTTTGTTTTGTGTTTGGTTTTTTTTTTTTTTTTTCCTTTTTAAGACAGGGATTCCCTGTGTAGC